TGAAGATTTATCAGCTGAAGAAATGTTGGGTTTCTTGGACTGTTGATTGCCTGTTGTCTTGCAACAACCAGAAGGTGAAAAAGAAATGGTACCGATAATCAATACCCATAGTTTTGTTTAATAGCGAACTACTCAGCCGGGCGTGGGATCACAAATTGCCGACGTGGATCCACAGTACTCCCAAACTAAACTAAGCCCCCCAATGCAAGTACTCATTGTTAATGGGTCGAACGAATCTAGTTAGTCTAATCTACTCAAAACTAGGGACAGGCAACTAATTATCAATTAGTATTAGAACGGGAGCATTGTACCTCTCCTAGTCGGAAATTAATAAATGGGGATTGGCTACCAACCCAACCATCTGCTCAGATCACCGCCGTGCTTTGTCATAACATTCAATCCCATCTCCTCTACGCACCTCTGGTCCATGGAACCAAGCAATACATGAATGATATTTTATTTTCTCCGTCGGTTTGAGCGACGACTAATGTAAGACAAATAAGGTAGATTGCTACTCCCCCATCCCATAATGTAAAATATTTTTTGACACTAGTTATTTTTTAACCGCTTTCTTCAATTGTACGAACGCATTCAATACAAAGAGAACAAGATCACATCACCATTTCTACCATTTTTTGCTGACGAGAACAGAGGTAACTAACAAAGAGAGATATCTTCCTGGTGGCCGGCATGGCTTGGCAGTTTGCTTTCGGTGGAAAGTATTGATTCTAACGTCGGCAGATAAGGCAGCCAACAGAGATTGAAATCTTAAGTTGAGATTCACCTATGTAACCTAATTATAGTTAACTACTCCTTAATGTGTATTATTATGCTCTTACCTGCGTTGGACCGTTGATGTGGTAGCTAGTGGGAACTAGCTTTGCGCCTGCCAAAGCAGTTGATATCTTTTTCCATCATTCGTTTTTGTTCCTCACTAGTATTTTTTCTTGTTGCGAGGAACATCGCTGTTAAAGTTAACCGAATCCAGATGTTTCCAAGAATGAAACATTAGTGTTAAGTAGTAGTAGTTTGTTACAATACCGTGATATATCTCGGCAGTCGGCAGATTAAAGTCCGTGGTTTCTCATTCCTCCACTAGGCGAATGAACTGAGTACAGAACAGTTGTTCTACGGTTTATGCTTTATAAAATGAGTACGTACGCATGGCGGCAAGGAAGTGCACGTACACGTGTTGGTGATTTACCTCTAACATCGATTTAAAAACTACTTTCTTCAATCCAAATTAATTAACGCAACCTCTATACAACCACACAAGTCTGCGCAACATGCTATCAGATTTTAGTGTGTCGCACCTTGAGAACTAACAACAGATCGCCCTGGAACGTGTTCTAACTGCATACCAAAGTGTATCATGAGACCGAATCAATGGCTCCAGGTCGATGGGAGAACTTTTGAGAAATACTGTAGTTGCGTGAGGGTTGGCCAAACCGAATTACTACCAGTCGTGTTGGGTGACTCGCGAGGCAGAGTTTTTGTCTTTAGTCGACAGTAGGACTATTTTGGTTACTGTGGTATAGAAACCACCTGCCATTCCTGACCCACTTTCTTCTACAGCTGAAAACTACACTACACCCCATACTACCCCACCACAGAACCCACGGTTTACCATGGACGGACGGACGGACGTGACGACGCAGCGCATTGCCTAGAACAAAAACGACGTGCGATATTTATTTGTAAAGAGCACGAGCACAGGTACAGCCTATAGCTATTCGTAAAAAAAAAGGTACAGCCTATAGCGGCGGCGCACGATGTAGACTTTATACAGCCCACCGTGATCCTTCTTATCACCGGGAACAGCATAAACCGTTGGCCCGACGGCGACCACGGCGCTGCCAACCAACCCACCGAGACCGACCGATGGGAGCTACGGCCGCCGCCGCCGCCGCCGCCATACATACCGCTTCGCTTCATTCACCAACGCCGCCGTTCGTTCATTCATAACGGAGGAGCACGGCGGCGCAAGTTGCCCACCCACCCACGCAGCCAGAATCCGTCCAAAACCCGCTGCCTTTCTACCTGGTGCGGCCCCGGCCCATCGCCTCGCCAGGAGACTCGACTCGACTCGACCCGACCCGACTGCGGATGATGATGAGGCGGTGTTGCTGACTGGACTCGGCGAGTGAGTGAGTTGTTGGTTGCCCGATGCCCAATAGAAAAATAGAAAATGTATGTTATTATTACTACTCTTTAGTAGATTAGATAGAAGAGGTGGAGGTGGGCTTACCTAACTCGCAAGCCCAATATTAAAATGCTTCCCATGTCCCCTTGTCACCTTCCTGTCCTAGTGCTACCTTCCTTCTTTCTCGCCGTGGTTAGCCGCTCGTCCATTAACGGCAGTAACCATGATTCTCCTATACTAATGCCGTCACCACCTTCTCCCTGAATAAACAGACCCTTTTTTTTTTGTTTGCGGGGTTTCAGATACACACACGTACGGTCTTAACTTTAACCACTTGCGTGTGGATATGCGAAGAGCAAATTACTTTTGTTTCTTAAATCAATCAATCACGAGCCAAGGCTAGAGAAGGTTTCTATTTTTTTGGCTGGGAAAAAAAAAGGGTTATGTATGTATGTATGTACGTAGCCACCCCAAGGGCGTCGAAAAGAAAGCAGGTCGCAAAGCGTCTCACGAGCCGCTGCCTTTGCCGTGGATGCAGGATTAGGCAACGCTCACATGCGCCCACGCGCTCAGGGCCTGCTTCTGGCCGGTCCAGTGCCCCGGTCTCGAGATCAACGCCCACACGGGGCACACTGAATCTGGCCATCTGGACAGACTCCTCTCCTCTCCTGCCAAAAAGAATTCTCACCTTCATATTATTATTACACTTTCTTGAAAGCACTGCTGTAATTTATACAGTGAGCCAGCCAGCACCAGAGTATTATTGCTCATGATCAGTCAAACGGTAATGTTTTTTACAACGGGACAAACAAAATGGAGCAACTAAGAGAGCAGCGGGGGGAGGAGAAGAGGGAGATGATCTTGGCGAAACACAAGATCATCCTCACCCTTCTTCTTGTCTTTCACTCGCTGTAATTTTTTCACCTACAGGCTAAACCAATATCCAAGAGTCACAGGAGAGAGGGAGAGGAGCAGGGAGGAGGGGGTGCTCTGCTCTGCTCATTTCATCTCGATGCTTCTGAAGTCGAGCATGGCGGTCCGGAGGCCCATGAAGCTGCTGCACTTGCAGTCCGCGCTCCTGGGGAGCCCCATGCTGCAGCTGAAGCAGAGGCCCACGACGGCCTCCCTCTTCACCACGGGCTTGGTGTCCACCATGGAGTCCTCGTGGGACGGGGGGCTGATGCAGAGGTCCAGGTTCAGGTCCGGGCACTTGAGCGGCTTCCCCTGGCCCCACTCCATCTGGTGGTGGGGGTTGCTACGGTGATGGTGGTCGACGTGGGTGATCGCCGCTGCCGCTGCCGCTACCTTGGTGGGCTCGGCGTCTCGCCGGAACACGGCGCCCTTGTCGTCCCTCTGCGCCGCCTCAAACGATATGGTGATGTTGGACGCGGCGTGGTCGCTGTTGATCGCCCGGTGGGTCACCGGGTCGATCCCCCGGCTCGTGAGCTTCCTCCTGATGTGCGTGTTCCAGTAGTTCTTGATCTCGTTGTCCGTCCTCCCCGGCAGTCTCCCGGCTATCAGGGACCATCTGCGTTCGTCAAACAGAAACAATACTGTCAGAGCGATGCTTTTACAAGGCCATGCATGTAGAGCAGAACAGAGGATCGTTCATTCATTGGTGCTATATAGGCTATGGATTAGACGATGGATGGACGTACTTGTTGCCCAGGAGGCTGTGGAGCTTGATGATGAGCTCGTCCTCCTCGTCGCTGAAGTTGCCGCGCTTGAGGTCGGGGCGGAGGTAGTTGATCCAGCGGAGGCGGCAGCTCTTGCCGCAGCGGAGCAGCCCCGCGGCCTTGGGCAGGGAGCGCCAGCAGCCCTCGCCGTGCGCCTTGATGTAGGCGGTGAGCCGGTCGTCCTCCTCCTTGGTCCAGGCGCCCTTGTTGGTGTGCGCCTTCTCGCAGCACGGCGACCTCCCCATCTCGCTATCTCTTTAGACGGTCTGCCGCCGCCGATGACACACCTTCCTTCTCCTTTTCTTGTGCTCGGTGGTGGGTTGGGTTGGGTTGGGTTGGGTTTGCAGGAGTGGAAGTTGGTGCTGCTGTTGTTGTTGTTGTTGTTGGGGGCTAGTGCTACGGGGAGGGGTGGGTGAGTCGGAGGCTCGGATCTTTATAGGCGGCACTGCACTTGACTGGATCGGGGAAGAAGGTCTTCTAGAGGCTGAGTTGGTGGGAAAAAGGTTAGGCTGGTACTGGTAGCACTGGTAGGCCTCCCCCTCCCTCTCCCTCTCCCTCTCCCCCAGGTCATGACCTCACCTCACCTCACCTCAACTCATCACCCCACCGGTTTGTTTACCAGTTTATTACACGCACAAAAAGAGGGAGATAGAAAGGCAACAATAACACAGCCAGCCACCGGGCACAGGACACACAGGCTCCATTTGCCCGCCTACTTGCCCGATTCACAAGCCTCACAGGTAGGTGTAAAGTGAGGTAAGCTCCAGCTCCCCCTGCCTACCCTCTTGGCGCGTTCGTTCGGTTTTAACAGCTAACTAACCGCATCCACCCGTGATGCCTCCCTCTTCCTAATTTGTTTACGGGGGATTATTAGGTTCACCCAATCTCCCCGCCCACTCGCTTTCCCTTGATGCTGCCCTCCCTGTCTAAAAACTCCTCGTGGAACACACACAAAACTCAGGCCTGGGGTCTCTAACCCATTCAATCTACAAGTAAATTATCCGCATCGACAATCACCGAGATCGGATACAGAATCCCAATCTTTTTGTAAGACACAAACTCAATGATGATTTGTCTGCCAAGAATTTTATTTAGACGAAAGAATATGTGCCACGTTGGAGACTATTCCCCGAGCCATTTTCTAGGACCTCCTGTGAGTTGTGAGTTGTGACCCAGATGCAGTGCAATTCGTGTGTCCTACCTGATGTCGTCTATGGACTATGGGGGGCTGTTTTGATTCTCCAACACAATCATGTCGACATGAAGATGATCTGTATTGTATACCAGGACAGAGTATTAGTTGTAAACGGATCGTTCATGTATACTTTAAAAGAAAACAGCCCTGATCTCACGAGCCCCAATCATCTTACCATTTCTTGAATTAACAAGCCAATGTGCATAATGCAAACTGGATGAGGTATTAACAAAAGGATGCTCCCTCATCATACACCCCCTTTTTTCCTTGTTTATTCTTCAATAATAAAACAGGATGAGGCGGAACAGGTATCCGGCGCTGCTCAAACGGATTTTCTTTTGCCCACCCACCGTCTTTTTTCTTTGTTTTTGCCTACTAGTATGGTCTGCTTGCACAATCATAGCTTTTGTCATTTGCCGATAGTCCGATGAAACTACTTTCATATACAACATTTCTGTTTTGTACTCTAGTATTGGTTAGTTGAGCTGCTTGGTCAACCCTAAATTAAAAAAAATTCACCAAACTTGCTAGTCCTGCAACTGCTTCCTGTTATTTCTTTCTTTCTGTAGCAAGCCAGATCTTCTTGATACCGTATTTATATATGCTAATCCACATGGCAATAGAGTATACGCTAATCCACATGGCAAAAGATAACGTTATCAGTGATGCTTAATAAGGACACCATCAATTATGAGCACGACTTATTCGACTTCCGCAACATGTGCTTTGCCGTTGGCTCATGTAGAACGTAGATTAATATGAACATGCTGAATTTTCTACAGAATAGGGTTCATCCTCCGCGGTAATGAAGGCTGTGGGCATAGCATTCTGAGGATGCAGATGAAACTATGACTTGCTGAGGTGGACCATTAACTGTTCCATGTTAGGAGCAACTTACAAGTCCATGATGAAATCCAGATGCGCTTACATAATATTTGCCTACCTAATATATTCTTTTGGGATGGTTACCAAACTATGGACCATCGTTGGTTGGGTGCAAGGAGAGGGAAATATCCCAAACCATTTGCTTCAGTTGGGCCCAGAATGATTGGGACTTCACACTCCACAATGGTCCTCTACTTGAAATGTCCATGCTTCCTATATTGCCCCATAATTCCTTTGTTGCAAGAATTCGGTGATTACACCTCCAGATCTAACTCCAAATTTCTATTATTTTCAAGCCGACATGTTAGGGGATGGTTTGTATCACTTTTCAGCACAAGGCTGAAAGCTAAATCTATAATAATAGGATTCTTTTGAAAATAGCTGCATCTCAACAGAGCAGTACCGGTGCATGTACCAATTTGCCTACCATGCAATGCAAACCAGAAAGTCAGGTTATCAGACACCAAACTGCTTTATTGCATGATAAGCTAGTTGGCCATAAATCAAGTTCAGCGCCCTACCATTTTGTTACACACAGATTTAATAAACTCAAATAGCTATTCTTTTGGTGCATCAAATTAATCAACTAAACCATCTCTGTTGTACCATAATCAGACCCTGACTGGCAAAAAGAGTGCAATCCCTGTTCCCTAAACAAAACCCATAAACCATGGCCCTTTAGTTGTTAAATTGTAGGCATTAGTTCTAGAAAGCATGAAGGCCGGCAAGAGGAAGGTAGGGAAATAGTTCTTAGTTGTCTGGTTGAGGAGTGGTGTCTGGTTATGTGCAGTAGCTCTACCTTCCACTTCTTAGCCACGCACTTGTGGTGGAAGAATCCTCCATTCTGCAAGCTGGACAGTTATAGGTTAGGGGGGAGGGAAAGAAGAAGGTAAGGAGAGAGAGGTAGGTCTAGGCCGCTCTTTTGCTGTTATCTCTTCCAGGGAGGCATGGCCAAGGCCATTTAGGCAGCCCCCACACCACATGGCGCAAGCACTAACAGCACTTATCCATGACTCCTCTCCCCCAACCCCCTCTTTGTTTCCTCCTACCTACATGCCCCTTATATGCCTGCATAAAGCTCCAAACTCCTCATGGCATCCTCCTCCTACCTACCAGTCCTTCCATTCTTCCATCCAATCGGCTATTATTAGGTTAGGTGTGGTGTTGGTCTCCACGACTTCAACCCAAATTCATTAGCTACTAGCAGGCTACCAGTTTCCTTTCGCCCTTTCGCTAGTGAACTCTGGTTTTACCAAGCAGGCAAGTAGTGTAATACTGCAAACGCAAGAATTGGGTTGGTCAGCCAGGAATTCGGCGAACCAAGTGACTACTTTTCCATTTGGCCCCAGAAGCATTGAATATGTGCTCTTCTGGCCGCAACACATGATGTTTCAGCCTTCACGCGGATGATTGTTCGTTGAACAGACAAGAAAACCTTCTAACACTAGTCCTCCACTACCAGAGACTTTGACTGTCTTCAAACAACTAAAATATCAGGGGCAGAAAAAAAATACTATCTAGTCCCACTGTCCTAGACCAATGTTCATAGCGCCAAATGACAGGTCAAACAAAAGTCAGCAGACACAATGCTTTTGTCATTTGAATGAAGGCATAAAGAGATCCTGATCATCATGCGTCACATCTTTGGACTCGTGAAAGAAACCATGAGGTTTACCGTGACCCGCAACAGCATGTTTTCCCATGAAACAGTTAGTTTACTCGAAAGTTCATCTTTTTAGAAAAGGTGGGCAGTCCACATACTTCGACAGTAACCTATATTTATAAGAACTCAACATGCCTAGTGCTTGTTGCTCTAGAGCACTAACCATATCAATTTTCCACTCTTAAAAGCGCTTCATGTATAAATCGACATAAGAGTATTAGACTACAGGTTAGAAATTATTCATGCTTACAGTGGTTTCTGAGTTCCTTTTTGTCAGTGCTTCTATCATGAAAGTTGGCATCAAATATCCCTGCAGCATCCACTGATTGTGGCTTTCTGCAGAGAAAGAAGCCATCAAAACTCCACGGACTCGATTTGAGTTCGTGGAGAACTAGTGTCAAATTACAATGTGCAAGCAGTGTATCATGTCAAATTACTGTATACCACTGGCTAATGGTATGTCACATTGAATGGTAAGTTGCATCAAAAGGTCAAGATTTACAATTACAACTTAGATTTAAACAGAGTAGTATAACCAATTGAAACTAAAAGTCTGAAACAACATTAAACTAATACCCCAGATCTACAGATTTAGCTACATCCAAATGTTTGGTCAGGTTGATACATCTGCAAGCTAATACAAATAATACACATATGCCACCCTTGCCTGTTAGTCAATTGTCCTTTATTAACTACTGCTAGACCAACTCATTTTGAGTTGAGTATAGGTGGACCTTCTAATCTACTTATAATAAAATAAAATACATAGTATTTATTTCAGCTGCATGGTATGATTCGTGTTGAATAATGGAGGGCCCCCGGAGATACCCATAAGAAATACCGGAAATAATAATCACGCAATGATTTGAGACCAAAAGTTCAGGAACTTTACAGTGGCATGGACATAATTTGGTTCGCATAATCCTTATCCAATTTGACGACTGCCTTCATTTCTGTGCATCCAGCTCCTCCAAACACTTATCATCTCAATTCAATTGAGAGACGGTCTATCATTATTCTTGCCTGACCATACTATTAAGAGATAGGTAGTTCGTTACTTTGAACAAATATAATAAATTTAGAGAAAGCACAATTTCTCGTAAGACCTAACAGACAAAAAGAACAAACATGCAATGCTTTTGAACCTTTCAATAAAAAAAAATCTTAGAAACATGTCCAAAATGTCTCGAGTCCTGAGCAAAAGATCCATGGATCATAAATTAAAGGTAGTATCAATATTAACAGGGTTATAATTGCAACTAAAATGTACCAAATTGCATATTTAAGGCCTTGCAAACGTCAGATGTCACTTAAGGCATCTTTCTGATAATTTTATCGAGGCAAAGTGATGATGAGAGTGATACTAAGTTTTCTGCTTTTGTATCTTTTTAACAACATCTGTATATAACCTAGTGATCCAGGGGAAAGTTTTAAGAGAAAAACAATATGAAACGTCAATAACTATATTAGGATGATAACGGAACAGAATACGAAAACGTTGC